ATCAAAACAACTCTGAAGTACCACATCACACCTATCAGATTGGCCAACATGACAAAGCAGGAAAATGATAAATGTTGGAGAAGATATGGGAAAATTGGAACACTAATGCATTGTTGGTGGAATTGTAAACTGATCCAACATTCTGAAGAGCAATTTGAAAGTATATTGAAAGGGCTTTAAAACTGTGCATACCCTTTGACCCAGCAATACCATTTTGTATCCCAAAGAGATCATAAAAATGGGGAAAAGGATCTACATACACAAAAATACTTATAGCAGCTCTTTTGTGGTGGCAAAGAACTGGAAATTGAGGGGATGTCTGTCAGTTGGAGAACGGCTGAAAAAGTTGTGGTATACAAATGTAATTGAATGCTACTGTGCTATAAGAAATGAGCAGGCCAACTTCAGAAAAACCTGGAAAGACTCATATGAATTGATGCCGAGTGAAATGAGCAGCACCAGGAGAACACCGTACACAGTAACAGCTACCCTGTGCAAGGACTAATGTTGGTAGACTTAGCTCTTCTCAGCAATGCAAGGATCTAAGACAATTCCAAAATGCTATCTACATCCAGAGAAAGAACTATGGAGTCTGAATACAGATGGAAGCACACTATTTGCTCTTTTTTTGTTGTTTTGTTTTTTCTTTCTCATGGTTCCTCCCATTGGTCCTAATTCTTCTTTACAACATGACTAATGTGAAAATGTTTAATATGAATGTATATACAGAGCCTTTATCAGATTGCACACTGTTTTGGGGAGGGGTGCAGGAAGAGAGGGGGAGAAAATTTAAAACTTAAAATCTTATGGGAGTGAAAACTAAAAATAAATAAATTTATTTTTTAAAAAGTAATACACAGAAACCATTAAGGGAATAGCTATTTTATACTTGGTTCTAACAACAAAAAATAACTGGTGAAATAAAAATGCAAGGAACAAGGTAACAACTACTCATCTTTAAAATTCATGATTTAAAAAGCCAGGAAAGCTAGAAAGTCTGGCACACACCCTAGATTTTAGGAGAAAATTTCTTCTTCAGAGAAGGGAAAGTAGCATTCCATGGCCTAAAAATTTTTTAGAGAAAGTTATCCCAGAAAGAATGAGAAGCTCAAGAGGAAATTCTAAAGACAGAGAAATCATTCAGTTGTAGAAAAAAGAGGGAGTTGTCTAAAGAACTATGTGGCTACCTATTGAAACCAACCATTCACTAATTTGGATTTTTTTTTAAAAAAATATGTTCAACAATGACTACAATAACAATATTAAAAGGCAGTGAAATTGATGCATTGTCATAAATAACATCAATTCTGGAAAACTCATATTGAAACATTATTCTCTTCTGAGACGAGTTGAAGTACGATATAAATGGAATATGGTACATATTGTCAAATGCAGTTTTATCAAGCTGATTTTGGTCAAACATTTTTAGTGGTGGTAGTAGGGTTTAAGAAGGAATGGCTATAGTCACTTTTCAGCAGAGACGTGCAAAATAAAAAGCAAGTTGATAAAATTTTATTTAAAAAAAATGTACAGAACCTTAAAATAATGTTAGATATTGTTGAAGAGGGACTGTGATCAATGAAATACTGTAGGAAACAGAAGAACTGTCAAAGTACTGGAAAAGGGCAAACATCTTAATTCTTAAAAATGCAAGGAGTGACCTGCAAGTTAAAAATCAGTAAGTTTGACTTTAATTCCTGGCAAAAAATTCGGAATGGTTAGTGAATAATCTAGAATAGCATCTGGTCATCAGGAGAAGTCTACCTGGCTTTATCAAAAACAAGTCAGTCATGCTATACTAACCTTATTTTCTTTTTTAACAGGGTTTTACTCTTTTAACAGGTTTCATGTAGGGAGCAGAGAGGGAGAGAGACAAGTCAGAAAGCAGACTGGTGTGGTATGATCCCAGCACTCTACCAGAGCCCACAGCAAAGGGGCTGGGGTGGATTATATTTCTCAGCCCCACTATCCACAGCATCTTGTCCACTGGTCTAGTAGTAGATACTGAATCTAGCACAGAAGAGAGAATCAGTGGAAGTTGCTCAAGGAGTATGACCCTTGGCGGCAGAGAAGAGCCAATTGTAGATTCAAGAAGGACTTGGCCCAGGCACTGAGGAGAAGAGCTAGCCAAGGGAATCCAGTGCCCTGCCTGGTATATCAAGCAAATATTGCAAGTATAAATTTACCTAGATTTTAATAAGCATTTGAAAAAGTCTCTCAGGTTATTCTTGCAGACAAGATGGAGAGATGGCAAATAGATTTTATGGATTCTGAACTACCTTACTGCCAGACCCAAAGAGTAGTCATTAACAGCTTGATGTCAACTTGGAGGGAAGTTTCCAGTAAAACATCCTAGGGATCACTCTAGCTTAATATTTGAAACAACAAAATGCTTATCAGCTAATACAGTGAACAAAGTCAGGATCTGAAAAGAACTCAAATGACTAAATTGCTGGTTTAAATCTAATAAGATTACATTTATCCCTCTTAAATTTCAATTCCCATATTTATTTTCAAAAAACACTTCTTGAGTACACGATTGGAAAGGCAAGCTTAGAGTTAAAATTTGTTTGAAAACGATCAGAGGTTTTAACAGACTGACAGTTCAATGAATCAGTAGTATAGAATGGCAGCCAAAGAAGTGTGACTTCTTTGCCCAGGACTGCATTGCCAGACCACACCTAAATAAACACACGTACAGTTCAGGGTGCCACCTTTCAGGAAGGACTGTCCCCGAGACTAAGTAATGCATCAAACGGAGGAGTGTGAAATGAGACCATGTGGGCGAGGCGAGATCAGGGAAAGACTGAGGCGGTTATTATTCTGAGGGCCCAGTTTAAATAGTGAAAGCTAACAATCACCCTCGAGGCGCTCATGGCTAATCCCAGCCCTGAGGTGTTACTTTAATTATACACACTTGCTTGCTATCAAGGTTCAAGGATGGGTCAGAGTATTCTAATATCTTCAAGCCAAGAAATTGGTGAGCCAAAAGATTCTGAATAATTAAGCCCTTATGGCAGGAAAAGGAAAAGAGTCAAGCTCTAACCTAAATTCCTAATCCCATATTTAGACTTCTTCAGTTCTGGCCCTCAACAAAGAATCATTGGAATGAAGACTTTGAGGTGGAAGGAAACACACAGGAAACTGGGAGAGAAAATAGAGAGAAGAATGGCCAGTATTGTGAAGGGCACTGAAATTATGCCATATCTGTACAAGTAGAAAGAACCAAGAATTTTTAGTTTGACAAGGTGAAGATTTAGACTAGGAAACATGATCACTGTCTTCAAGCTTTTAAAGATCTTAGACTTGTTCTCCTTGGTTTCAGAAGACAAAACTAGGAGCAACAGGACAGAAGTTACAGAGAGGCAGATTTGGGTTTGATATATGGAAAAATTTCTTAATAATCAGAACTATCAAAAGTGAAATGGGTACATACATAATATATAATGGGTCACTCTACTCTCATCCCAATGCAGGTCTTTAAACAAAGGCCGGATTATTACCAATTACATTATAGAAGAAATACTTATTCAAGGATGGTTTGGGTTATATGGCTTATAAGGTCTCTTTCAATTCAGATTTGATTCTGTAATTTGATGCTTCTAACCTAGCATGGGCTTTCAAATCAGATAAGTAACAAATTTAGAACTATGTAAAACAGAATAGCCTGTGAGGAAAGGGTTAATCCTAAAGTACATGAACCACTACTGTAAAAACTTCACGATATCTATTTTTGCCTCTTAAGAGGCCTACGTTTGCTTACTTTGGGTTCTCTACTATATTCCAGCACATGGAGGCTGTTTACTAAGTGACTTTAAATAAATGAGATATAAGTCAGAAAACAACTTACTGAATGTGAATACTTCCTCCAACAATGGAAGATTATTACATGTCTATATCCCCTCTTAATCCTGTTCAACTCTTGTCTATGTCTTCCTATAAAATCTTTAATTGAGTGGAGTTGGGTATCAAAATTATTTCATTCTTGGAAGGAAAAAAGACCAATGGAATGGGATAAAGATCACAGAAACAGAACTGACACATTTTCAAATGTGGGTATGTTTGACAGAATTTGTGGAAAATAAAGGCTAGGTTAAGGATTATTTAACAAATATTTTTGGAAAAGCAGACAATATAACAAAAACAAAAGTTGAGTCTCAACTCATACCATAAAAAATTGCATCTGTGTTACAGATGTAAACACACAAAAATAATCATTAAAAATGAAAAGGGGAACGTTTTTCTCTCAGTTGCAAAGGGCATATAAAAATTATTGAATAAATGAGATATTGTGAGGAATGAGAAAAACTGCATGGAAAAATTATAAACAAAAAATATCCAATAAATCAATGGAACAAACATTAAGTGCTTACTATCTGCAAGGCATAAAAAAAAATCAAAAAAGTTAGGAATACTGCATGAAAAATTATATAACAACTTAACAAATAGTAAAGAGCAATACTGAATTCACTTCGCATAGTCAAAGGATAATTTATGAAAGTGAAAGCATGCTGTCACTAACAACCTGAAAAAAAAATTCAACCTCACTACAGATCAAAGAAATACTAATCAAACAATTCAAAGTACTACTATATAGCTTTCAAACTGGTCCTATAGAAGAAAAAATATATAATATTGAGAACTGACAAAGAACAAGCGATATAAAGAAAAAAAAAGAATAATCTGTTAGGGATATTTAAAGCATTAAAATTCACAAGATTACACATTTAGAGTTGAAAGGACCTTCCACTGAGCCTAATCCCTTCATTTTACAGATGAGGAAAATGTGGCACAGAAAGTTTACTTACCTTGCCCAGGGCTACATGATCAGTAACCCTCTGAGGAAGAATACAGACTCAGATTTCAAGATCATGTCCCATCTATAAGGGCTTACTGCCTCTATCCAGTTTGTTAAGTACTTAGTTTTTAACTTAGGTTTTAACCTTAGTTTTTAACCTTAACCTTTAACCTTAAAAACAAACCTAAATTAAACAACTTACGATCACAAAATTGTGGAATTTCTGACCATTCCATACCCTGGCAAATAATTGAGTCTGAGTTTCCCATTAGTTTAACATAACCAGTATCACATTTGTAATGTACAATGGTGCCAACAACAAAGATTTTATCAGCATCATAGTTTTCTTCAGGAGGAGCATGAGGAAATGCTGGCAGAGTATTACAATTACCTAAAAAAAGAGTGATTAAATATTACAAACTATACACAATTCCAGTAAGAAGGAAAACATTTATTAAAAGAATCTTAATTATCTTTATAAGAATACTGTTTTCAAATCCAGCCTCAGACATTTCCTAGCTGTATGACCCTGGGCAGCTCACTTGTTTATCTCAGTTTCCTCAAGTAAAAAATGAGGATAATATAACAACAAAGAGATAATATTTGTAAAAGTGTTGAATGGGATGTCCCAGTGAAGGCTCCTTAGTATAATTAAGGTTTGGGATAAGGCTGAGTGGGATGAGGGGTCCCTGAAGACTTCTTAGAAGAATAAACAGACATTGTATTGTGACTCAAGGCAGGCATAGCAGCCAGACAAGCCTAAGTTTCAATTTACTGGAAATCACCTGATTTACGGGAATCCAACCTCAATTACCCCCCCCCTTGCCATTGTTCAGTAGTTAAAGTTTGCCAAGCCTGAAACCCTTGAAGCCCCCCTGTATTTTGTTGTACCTGTTGCTATATTTTGGTTATGGTGACCTGGCTACACAGTACAGTGTCTACCTTGACTGCACATTTTTAATTGTTTCTTTGGCAACACTTCAGTAAACTAAGGGGCTAAATACAGATATGTATATAGTTTCTTTTGTTTCTATAGAGTGTGAGCCAAACATTGGCCAGTTGGTGGGAAGGGGGCTTTACCCAGGAGGGTTGTTTAATCTGGTTCTTCTGCTTCTGTAATCTGTCTCCCCTCATCAGAGCATCCTGGTAGAGGGACACCCTATTCCTAAAAATAGCAAATAAATTAAATTTCTGTTTCTCCTTGAAAAACCTGTGTGTTTTTTAATTTGAGTTACATCCCACACAGTTTTGGTGCATTGGCTGGGAAAATAAGCCCCTCAGGAGTTGACTCTTTCTAAGGGCTGAGAGCAGGCACCCACTGACCATTTTCTTGGTGGCTGTCAGACTTGGGGAACGGTCTCCCTCCTGGGCGGCAGTCGTCCCAAAGACAGAACTCAGAGGAACAGAAACTAAAAAGGGGAAAGCTCCAATAGTGGTGCAAGTATAAATTCCTGCTGGTGGAGAAAGAGCAATCATGAAAGTTATATGCACATAACCTGAGGATGTCCCAGAACTTGTGGGTCTTTGGGATAAAACGGATTATCCCTGGAGGGATGCTGACAGGTGAGTGCTCAGGTGACTGAGGGAAGGGGGCGACCCCTCCCTGAGGACCTAAGGTGAGGTCCTGAAAAAATTAAATGGGTAGAGGGCCTAAGGTGAGGTCCTGAATTCATAGGTCACTGACCTGGAAGGGTCTGGTAACAGGCCTTCAGATAGATTTTAGACATGAGTAATGAGCAGTCTAAACCCAGCACCACGGAGCAGAAAGAAGGTATACAAAAAAAAAAAAAGATCCTTCAGGGAATAAGTTTCAGAATTGGAATGAATCACCAAAATATAAAGGTAAAGATAAAAAGAAAATGATTAAATATGATTTCAGGATTTGAGGATTTTACAGCAATTTGTTATATGCTTATTTTCTGTGTTTGTGTCTATGTGTGGTATGATTGATTGTCCGTGTGTGTAATCTGATATCTTTTGCAGCCAGGCAGCAAGAATAAGCATTCCAAGGGCTACAGTTTTCTTTCTCTTCCTCTCTCTTCTTCTGTGGTAAGAGCAGCCTCAGAGGAGTGGATGGATGGGAGAGAGAAAGAGAGAACAATAGTTTATAGTGTGAATACAGGTTTTGAAAGTAAAAAAGGTTTGGAAACTCTTGAAGAGTTGTTGGAAAATATTCTCTTCCTAAGTTGGAATGTGGGAGAGAAAAAGAGAAAAATCAGATGAAAGGGAGGCAGGCTAAATAAGTCTTTAACGATTCTCTGCCTTATGTAAAAGAGAAATGTTTTGGTGTACCAGAACATGATCAAAAGCTAATTTATGGGCAGCTGGGGGCTGTGCTGAGGGCAGCTGCTTGTTGGGATGGCTGGGTTCGGTGGCTTCGGAGGAAATGAAATATGATGTTCAGAACTTATTATACTGTTTGGCACTAAGGTAAATTGGGAAAATGTAAGCATCTGAAATTTGTTTCATGAAACCTCAGTTTATTTCACTTGATTGGAAGGCACCTAACACAGTGCCTAGCAGAGGGCAGACACTAAAAAATGTTAACAACTATTCCTTAATTAGATGTGACCAGTTGGAAATGCATTCAACAGAGTTGGAGTCACCTAATTGGTAATGTGTTTATTTCAAATTTTAAAACCTCTAGTATTGTTTCAAATTGGTAAACTTTTGTATTGTTACGTCCAGTAGCTTTTCATAATTTGAATGTTATTAAAGTAAATTGAAAAATACATATATAGTGGGAAAAAAATTGTGTAAGACAAGTGAATTGTTTAGAATGCATAGTAAAGTTGTAAAAGCAGTTTGGGAAGACAGAAGGGGAGGGAGAGCCCTATTCAGTTATTTCCCTTCAGAAATGCAAAAAGAAAGCTGTGTAGTAGTCTTGATGAGTGTAATTTGGGTGTGGGTCTGAAGTTCTTGGATGGGAATATCTTCTGAATAACTTTAGATAGTTTAAGTAAAACTGAGAAGGTGTAAGGAAGTGGTCTGTTTTGAGTAAAAGGATGGAAAACAATTTTTTTTTTATGGGTACTGGCTATGGTAAAGATATTGGCTATTGTGAGTTATGATTATTACTGTTCAATTTTTTTTTCTTTTCATTTCACTTTTATTTGCTTTCTAATGTCATATTTACTCCCGTGCCATAAGCTTTTGTTTCTTCAGTTTCTTCTGGGATATCTTTTTCTTTTAAGCAACCTCCTCTTCTGGTTTAGGAACAATCTGTTCCTTTTCAGTAAGTATCATCTCAATATGGCACGGAGAACTCACGTATGGGACGATCCGACCATGAGCTCTGTAAATACGCCGTCGCATTTTGGGAGCCTTGTTAAACTGGATATGCTCAATGACAAGAGAATCCACATCCAAACCCTTCAGTTCTGCGTTACTCTCTGCATTTTTAAGCATATGCAGCAAGAATTCATCACTCTTTTTGGGCCAACGACCCTGTGTCCAACCCCACTGCTTAGCCTGGGCACACCTGCCAACTCCACCATTATATCGCCTGAAGGGAACACATTGTTTCCTCAATGTGACATCTTTCAAATACTTGGTAGCTTTTCGGATATGCATGCCCTTGATAGCTTGGGCTGTTTCACGGGTGTTCTTGAAGTGGACCCGGAGATTCAAACCCCTTGACTTGCATGACCTCACCATTTTAAACGACTACCTAGGACGGGTCAAGGGAAGAGGAAGAGCAAAGGCTTTCAGGAGACTTTGTTCAATTAATTATTAAGCTCCAGAGGTGTCTACTTGGAGGGAAAGCAAAAAGTAGTAGTTAGAATACCGGCCCAGTACATTTTAAACTGACCTGATTATAATAGATGATTCTAAGCTATTTGTAAAACTTTCAAAAGAAAATGTGGACATGAATGAGGAACTGAAATATTGAAGAAATATATGAATTTGTGGATAATATTTCTTTATAAAGGGTCAAAGGTATGGAACTTAGAAATGTATATTTGTATAATTTTAAGAGCACATATTGTTACTCGGCATTAAGAAATTTATTAACTATGTGGCCCCAAGAAAGTTTTATTTACTTTAGTTTACTGTTCAGTAAGGGGATGGTGGTGGAATTCATTCCCAGGGATATAAAGCCACCAGAGTGGTAATTAATTGGTTTTGGCTTTAAAGTTTGAATAGACGATAGTTGTTTTATGAGACTGTTGTATTTCTAAAATTCTCCTTCATTGTATAATTTGGTAAGCAACTGTATCATCTGTGTTGTCAGAAAAGCAATTTCTTTTATATAATCAAAATGTTGTTAGGTTCCTTCTTAAGGCTACAACCAGGTTTGTTGAGGGATGGGCAGTATGAGCCAGGCTCTTAAGGCAGGGACTAGTGGTTGTGAGGAAGTCTAGGCCCTTAAGTACCTTGACTGGGAGTGCATTGAGGCTGAATCTCGAATCTGGATGGAGCCTGGGGCTATCATACCAGTAAAAGACAATGATGGGCTAGCATAGATAAAAAAAAAAAAGCCAGTCTATAGGGGTGGGAGTGGCCCCAGGAGACTGTTGGACCTGGCAAAGGGGTCTAGAAAGAAAGAAAGACTTTTTTATTGGGTCTGGTTTCAATTGTATTAGTTATGTTCCTGGAAGGGCAATTTCTTTTCTAACCTAGTATGTTAAATTAATTGTGTCTTCAGAGAAAAGAGAAAAAGGAATGAATCTGGCTGTTGGGGCATTCTATATGATCCTGTTTTGTAACATTTCAAGTACTGTAATTTAAGAAAGCATAAAATTTCCAAATTTTGTCATTATTTAAAGGGAGTTTTCAGTTAAAATTGTCTTATAACATTTATGATTGTTAATTATTTGGGGTTACTGTTTTAATGTTAAAACCTAGAATTATTAATTGATTACTTGTGTGTGTAAAGAAGGGGCATAAGGCAATTCTTGCCAAGGTTCCTGGAAACCATCTGTGTGGACAAGGTCATCTGGCCTGAGAAAAGAACGTGTTAGGATAATGCAGTTCCTAGACAATGAACTTAGTTTGCTGAGAAGTTGCACGTTTATGTACAGTAGAGAGAAATGATGTTTAATGATTGGCTTTTACACCAGGGCAAGTTTAAATTTGAGAAAAAAAGATGTAAAGTGAGATCTCTTATGTATGAGTCCTGGTAAATCTTTATTCCTTATTTGCAACTCCATAAGAATAAAATTAACTGTATCTAGCTTTAAGCTGTGATTAATGAAACTTGTTGTTTGAGGTAAAAGGCTCTTGGGACTATAACTAATTTTGTTTTGAGTTTAAATTTGGGTATAGTTGTCTGTACCAAATCAGTATCTGAGAGAAATGCCACAAGAACAGGTGGAGGTCTACTTAGAGGAAATGTGATTTATTTGGGAAAAAAGCTGAGGGGGCAATCTTAGCCTCAATCTAGGATGG